TGTTGTATTTGAACGGAAGGTGATAGAAATCTAATTCTTTTTTTGTTGGATAGAGCATCGTTTCTACTTTAAAAGAACATGTTTCAAAGACTTCTATTCATACACTAGTAGTGAAATCCATTCGGTTTTTCTAGAATCCCTACAACAACGTAGTGTAAATTTCTACAATTTTGCTTTTGCCTTCTTCGCAAAAAAAAAAACAATACTTTGCCTTAGACGTGAAAATCTAGGCTGATTTTTGCAGGTTATATGCAACATGATATAAGCTTCAGTTACACATACAAATCATTGCCAAGTTTGATTATTATCCTCTACTTTTGGCAAGAAAAACTAATGTCCATTTTTTTGAAAATTTGCATATATCAATTGTTCAAAACTCTGATCACTTTATATATCAATGTTTCAGAATCAATTAAAACAAAATCGACTACGACAAATCGAGCTTTTCAGAGACTACAAGACTATGTATAAAAACTTTATTAGATTGTTAGTTCTAAGTTTATAACATAGCTGAAACTGTAAAGTTTACTGTTGTGTAAACAATTGGAATTTATTTCAACATCCCTAGAGAAAGTACTGAGTTCAGGGTACCCATGTACTGAGAAAGCTCTAGCAGGGTACCCAATATGGGTACTTTGAAAATTCTCAGTAATTTTACAGATGTATGTACTGTTTGGGGTACCCGTAAAAGTACATTCACTGAATAAGTACCTGCATGGATACACAAGTCTGTAACTTTACTGAGGAAATCTCGACAGGGTATCCTAAATTTTTCGCGTTCTGTGTGGCGACTATTCATTCACCGTTTTCTTTTTTACGTACGGCTCTATATAAACAACTCGATAAATCATAAGAAAATAATCAATTTTCATACTAGTTTTTTCTAAATTATTTCTTGACTATTTCTTAGTCGAGGAAATGCGGAGCTTGGTCGTAAATTAAGATCGGACTACCCTGAAGTGGTCTACAACCAACTCAAGTTGAGTCGGATCCCGACATTGTTCCTGCTAAGTTTTTGGAATTGAAAAAATTAAATTGAATAAAGTAAAAAAAATCTAGCAAATTATCTCAAGAAAAAGAAAAAATTTTAAAAAGTCAAAGATCAGGTTCGATCCTGAACATACTGAAAATTTGGTAACAGGGTACTTAGAAATACTATACAATGGTACCCAATTCAGTACTTGATCAGTACCTTTAGGTACCCAATTACTGTGCATTTTCCAGCAGGGTACTTGCCAAAGTACCACTTAGGTACCTGTAAGTACCCGCAAGTACTTTGGTACCCAAAAGTTCCTGTGACATACTAATATCAGGGTACTTTTTTTGGGTACCCTTAACTCAGTATATTCTCTAGGGATAATATTAAAAAACTGGGTCTCTGTAAAGAAAAACCCGTTTGAGCTGATTTTTATTCTCTAAGTGAGTCTTAAGCAATTACACAATTAAGGAGTCATTTGAGCTCACAAGCACATGTCTTTGTGGAGATATGCCACTTGTATACTGTAAAAAACGTTTACAGACTGCTTTTTAGGGGTTGCAGCAAAATAGAATGGATTCTGCTATCAGTGTATAGATATAAATCTGCGAAATATGTTCTTTTAAAGTAGAAACGATGCTCTATCTAACAAAAAAAGAATTAGATTTCTATCACCTTCCGTTCAAATACAACAGAGACTGACATTTTTCCAAGGACTTTTGCATAACCCGTTATAAGCACTTCTTAAGCAAAGATTTCTTCATTATTCTTTTGACTGAAAATTCACATTGAGTCAAACGAAGACTAATAGAGAAAGCAGTAAATTCAGTTGTGTTGTTTATATTTCAAACACTCATATCTATCTTTTGTTTATTATCAATAATTTCAACTATGTTTATTTTCATCTATAAGTAGAAAATAAAAGTTTCACTTTTATGAGTATTAATAAATCGTATTTTTTTTATCAATAAAACACAAGAAATAAAACTACATTTTCATTGATTTATAATTTAAATCTTCTGAAATTATTTTTTCATATAGATTGATAATGGAATGTTTTCATATAGTACAAAAATTAAAACTAAAACGATGCGATAGATTTTATTCTCTTTTTTTCTTTGAAAGTCTTGCTCTGAACAAAAAAAAACCAACACAAAAATTTTAATTATTGTAAAAGTAGAACAATTACATTCAATAAACATGTTTAAAAAAAAATAGATATTTCTTCTGATCGTATCAATTAAATTGCAAATATCTCATGGATTTCTTAGCAACATGAAATCCATTTTTATTTCTACTCCATACTTTTGTTTCATTTCAGTACCAATGCGTGCAAGTTCCATTGATATTCATCCAAATGCAACATGGCCACAGAATGGTATCACTGTTGCTGGAGGAAATGGATGTGGCAGTAAAACCAATCAACTCGATTATCCATGGGGTTTGTACGTCGACAACGATCAGACGATTTATGTCGCTGATTGTGGAAATCACCGTATTGTAGAATGGAAATCTGGTGCAACGAATGGCACAGTAGTTGCTGGTGGAAACGGATCAGGTAATGGAACTAATCAATTATGCTGCCCATATGATGTGATTATCGACAAAGAGAGCGATAGTCTCATCATCAGCGATAGCGTGAATAACAGAGTAGTTCGTTGGCCTCGTCGAAATGGTACTCGTGGAGAAACAGTTATTTCAAATATCGCTTGCTGGGGTTTGACAATGGACGACAATGGTTCTTTCTATATCGTTGACATTGAAAAACATGAAGTGAGGCGATATAAAATTGGTGATACTCAAGGAACAGTGGTTGCAGGTGGCAATGGAGAAGGAAATCGCCTCGATCAACTCTCTTCTCCCCGATACGTATTTGTCGATCGAGATCATTCAGTTTATGTGTCTGATCTTGAAAATCATCGTGTAATGAAATGGGAAGAAGATGCAACACAAGGCATTATCGTCGCCGGTGGTCAAGGACAAGGAAATAGTCTTACACAATTGTCATATCCTTATGGAGTCGTTGTCGATCAATTGGGTACTGTCTATGTGGCTGATTTTTGCAATCATCGAATCATGCGTTGGCCAAAAGGAGCCACACAAGGAAGTGTCATTATCGGTGGAAACGGTAAAGAAGCACAATCGAATCAACTCGCTTCTCCCATAGGTTTACCATTCGATCGACATGGTAATCTCTATGTCGTCGATTGGGGAAATGCTCGAGTACAAAAATTTAATATCAAATAAACTCAACTCGTATGATTAATTTTTTTGTTTTGTTCTTTTTTTTCTCTTTCAAGTAAATTGCGATTGAATGAAAAAATGCATTCGAATTTATTCTATTCTCGTGCACGCGCGCGACCAGGAACCACCCTGGTGGAGCCATGGCGAGCGCAATGCTCATGCACGCGCGGGAAGACCCACATCATCCACATGCACCCATCCGATGTCATATGTCAGTGAGTCTGGGGGCCCGGTCGTGCGCCATGGACACCAAAGCAGTTCCTGGCCGGGCTTTTAGGGACTACCCGGAAGTCCTTCTTATAAGACGAACCTAACCTCAACATACCCCTGCCCCTCTAACACTCACTTAACTAACTCTCATCTCAAAAAAAATCACTCATTCGTTCCTGTTGGATGATGACGTCTAAAAGAAAAAAAATATTAAACGATGAGAAAAAAAAAACACTTACATCTGTTATCTTTTTCTTCATTGATTAACGGCTATAATTTAAAGAAAATACATCAAAAAGATCATAGGAGGACTTACTACTCTCCATATGACCGTAAAAAGAAAAAAAATATAAACTAATACCTACATTTTTTTATTGTGTTGATTTGAATAATTTTGTATCGTTGAAGCCAATCTAAAATATAAAAAGAAAAGATTATTATTTGATTCAATAAATTGAATGATTTTTACATAGAAAATCATTCATATTTATATGTTAAAAAATCGATATTGTACTTTTTTTTCGTCAGAGAGTGATCAAAAGACGATAATAATTAAGCTATCATCAACATACACGCATACATTGAGATAAATTCAATCACAAATATCTCAATGTATGTGTATGGGATAATGCTTAATTGATATACGCAATCATTATGTCATATTATCATTGATCATCAATGATAACCTGAACAATGACGACTTACGGACGACACAAGAAAAGAAAAGAAAAATATTCTCGTGACCTATATTATTTTTTCATTCTTCTCTCACTTCCATATTCAGTTGTGAGCACGAAACAGACGAGCACACAATATTCAAGTTTGTTCATATCATTCACTTCTTTTTTGTTCTGTTCCATAGATCAACTTTGGGATATGAATAAACAGTTTATTTTATTTTAGTTCAATTTAAATGAAATCATTGAAAAATGATTGATATTGAATTTTAACAGTTCATTCAACATTAAATTTATTTGCTGCTAGTAAGATTCTTTTCATTTTCAAAAATTAAAAGTAAAATAAAACATTTGTTTGCTAGGTCATGATAATCAAATATTCACGACGATTGGAAATTAGAACATCAAAAGGTGTTCCTCTTATATAATTATAAAGGTAAAGTTCCTCAGAATTTTGTAAAATAAATTAATTGTTTTATTTTATTTGAAAATACAGTTTAATGGTCCACGTTCGAAAGATGCTACCCTAGTGGAACATCTTGTAAGCAAGATCTTGGCCAAGATCTTTGGTACAGATAAGTTAACAGATCTTGAAAATTTAGGTACAAGATAATACGATTATCTTGTACCAAGATCTGATTACAGATCTTGGGTACAGATGTGTAAGATCTTAGGTACGAATCCATAAGATCTTAGGTACGAATCCATAAGATCTTAGGTACGGATCCATAAGATCTTGCATACACACTAAGATAAAACGTGTTGCATGTGTCGTGATTTGCGACACAATGTATGACGAATTCTGGAAGAGTGATTCGAACCTATAATATAGCGCATTTTTTATTTTTTTTCTGTTAAAGCATGTTATGATATTTTTTCAATTTATTTTCATTTTAATTATTCCTGTCCCGAATAACTGAAGCAAGTCAGATCGAGAGACCTGACTGGCTTTGAGTTGACCCGATCTCCATCAGACCACTTCGGGGTAGTTCTCTCTCGATCATCGATCGAGATCAGCATGTTCTCGAATAATCAATAGTCGAGAAATAGTTTAGAAAAAAAATCATTTTGAAAATTTATGTTTCGTATGTTCAATCATGTTG